GTGGCCTGTGGGTTCGGCGTGCCTCTGGCGCCCGATAAGACGGTGGGCCCTTCCCCGTGCTTGTGTTTTCTTGGAATTGAGATCGATTCGGTTATTGGGGAATGTCGCCTCCCGCCGGATAAGTTGGAGGATCTGCGGGGGGCTGTGTGGGAGGCGATCTCCCTCCGGAAGATTACTTTACAACGGCTTCAATCCCTTCTTGGCAAGTTGAATTTTGCATGTCGGATTATGCCTATGGGTCGAGTGTTTAACCGGCGCCTAGCGGCCGCCACGGCAGGAATTGTAAAATCATTTCATTTTATCCGCTTAACCAAAGTGCTCAAGGAGGACTTGGCAGTGTGGATGGTTTTCTTAGATGGGTACAATGGCAGGTCCTATTGGCAACAACCAGAGGTGTCGAATTCTGTGCTACACCTGTTTACTGATGCGGCAGGTGCATCAGGATTCGGGGCTATCTTAGGGACGCAATGGTGCGCGGAACCTTGGCCTGCGGCTTGGATTGCTGCTGGCCTTACCAAAAATATGGCCCTCCTTGAGCTCTTCCCCATCGTGGTGGCAGTTCATTTGTGGGGAATGGAGTTCAGGGACCGGCGCGTCGTCTTCCATTGCGATAACTTGGGGGTGGTGCAGGCCATTAATAATCTAACGGCCTCCTCCCCTCCGGTGGTCAGGCTCTTGCGGCGTCTGGTCTTACGATGCTTGTCATTGAATGTTTCATGCCGCGCTGTGCACATTCCAGGTGTTGTGAATACCACAGCTGACGCTCTCTCTCGTTTCCAATGGCAGGTATTTCGATCGGCTGCTCCGGAAGCGGATCTGGAAGGTCTCTCCTGTCCCGCGGAACTCTGGTCCCTTGGCCTGAGCGAATAAGGGAGTGGATACGGTCGTCGGTATCAGAGGCAACATGGGTCCGGTATGGTAAGGCATGGGGTGATTGGGTCGCACTGGAACAGGATTGCGGTGGGTTCGGCTCCTCTGACGAGAGGGTCCAGGGTCTGTTACGGTTGCTCTGGTTCTGGGAGGCTAGCGGGTGTTCCCCAGCTACGGTGTCAGGGAAGCTCTCAGGCCTTAGTTTCTGGTTCAATTTAACCCAAGTACCCGATGTGACGAAACACTGCATGGTGAGGCTTGCGATGCGCGGTTGGCGGAAAGGCCCGATGGTGCGGGATACTCGGAGGCCGGTTTCGGGCGCGCTCCTGTTAGGGATCGCCTCGGTTCTCCCCCAGGTCTGCTTTTCAACTCCGGAGGCTAGATTGTTTTTGGTGGCGTTTACTTTCGCCTTTTTTGGGGCTCTTCGGGTCGGAGAACTGGTCAGCCCTAGCAGGGGGACCCCTGGGGGGCTTTTATTTCAGGACGTGTTCGTCACGAGTACTACGGTGCAATTTTTGTTGCGCCGGTCCAAGACCGACGTTTTTGGCAGGGGTAAGTGGGTTACCCTTCGTGCCATTCCGGATTCGGCAGTTTGCCCCGTCTCGGCATACCTATCTTACAGTTCTGGGCGACCAGGTTTCTCCGGCCCGCTGTTAATTCATGAAAATGGTGCTTACTTATCTCGATTTCAATTTCTCAGGGTATTTCGCCTGGCCCTTGATCGGCTGGGAATCCCGAGCAAGGAGTTTGGGGGTCATTCCTTCCGCATTGGGGCCGCAACCGAAGCCTCTCGGTTGGGTTTCTCTGATCAGGCTATTCAGAGGATTGGCAGATGGGAATCTGGGAGGTTTCGGTCCTACGTACGGCCCACGCGGCTAATCGGTTCCCCTCTTGTGTTTTCTCCACAGGGCCCGGCCGTAGGATCTGGCTGATTGGGCATTCATACATCTATTGGGCCCATCTGCGGGCTGGGGTACGCCCGGGTGGGACACGCCTTGGAATTCCTCGGGAGCTGGCGGAGGTCCGATGGTTTGGTTTCCGGGGCATGAGATGGGGCCAGCTCTTGCCGGAGGTTGTACAGCTGGCCACTTTCCTGGGGGCGCCTGATGTATTGGTGGTTCACTTGGGTGGCAATGATCTGGGGGTGCTGCCTGCATGGGGTTTGGGTGAAATGATTAGAAGGGATTTAGCGCGCTTGCGAGTTTTGTTCCCGCAGCTTTGTCTAGTTTGGTCTGGGATAGTGTCCAGGAACTATTGGGGGCACGCGCGCGATCAAGGGGCTATTGAACGATGCAGGGTAAAAATTAATAAAAGAGTGTCAAAATTTGTGCTCGGCGTTGGTGGCATTTCAGTGCGCCACCAAATATTTGAACGTGACGCGGCGATATATTTTCGCCCAGGCGGGGTCCACCTGACCGATGTGGGGTTGGATTTCTTCAACCTAGCTCTGCAGGATGCGCTGGAACAGGCCATGGCATTGGTGGGGGGTCGCGCCGGCTTATTTAGGCTTAAATGCAGCTGGCGCTAGTGGCGGGTATGGTCCTTGCCGAACCAGTGGAAAAAGGAGTGCATTGGACGAAGGAATGCTGGGTCTGGTCCCTCCCCTAACCTCGGGCAATGGTTTGGTATTTGGGCGTGCCCTCCGTGCCAGGAAAAGCGGCCAGGGGTTGGCATGGGGAATTGGAGGGCCAAGGTGAAGGCCAATTAGCTTGGACGAGGAGGGAGGGCAGGTGCCCTGGAAAGAGGTACTCAAAAGGTTATTATGGTCCGGTTGGCAAGGACGGGTTTTGAGCTAAAAATATACGCTCATATTAAACATAATTGAATTGGTTTTACTTATTATATATATAAATAAAGCTGTGGCCTGTTTATACCACATTTATGTCTCTGTTTTAATTGGGGATGGGGTAAGGTGGGGGCGGGGTGGGTGGAGCAGTTTTGGTAATCACAAGGGGCACCACACGTTAACCACTACCTGCACACAAGGCCCAGAGGAGGCGGGCTGAAAGCTAGCCGGATAGGAGGCATGTGTGGGTGTGGTGGGTGTAGGTGTCATAAGTGGGTGTGTCAATTAGAGTAAGGGATGGGTGTGGTCCTTTATATACCAGTCATTTTGTCTCCCTTACCTCAGCCATCTTAGATTTAACGGCGTGGTAACATCTCCCTCCCTCCCTCCCTTTGTTGATACTTTGGTATCCGTTTCCATCTTACTAATTTATTTCTTTTGTCACAGCTGGCGGGTATGGTCCTTGCCGAACCAGTGGAAAAGGAGTGCATTGGACGAAGGAATGCTGGGTCTGGTCCCTCCCCTAACCTCGGGCAATGGTTTGGTATTTGGGCGTGCCCTCCGTGCCAGGAAAAGCGGCCAGGGGTTGGCATGGGGAATTGGAGGGCCAAGGTGAAGGCCAATTAGCTTGGACGAGGGGGGAGGGCAGGTGCCCTGGAAAGAGGTACTCAAAAGGTTATTATGGTCCGGTTGGCAAGGACGGGTTTTGAGCTAAAAATATACGCTCATATTAAACATAATTGAATTGGTTTTACTTATTATATATATATAAATAAAGCTGTGGCCTGTTTATACCACATTTATGTCTCTGTTTTAATTGGGGATGGGGTAAGGTGGGGGCGGGGTGGGTGGAGCAGTTTTGGTAATCACAAGGGGCACCACACGTTAACCACTACCTGCACACATGAAAACATTACTGTTCTGCAGGAATGGCAATATTTACATTTCAGGGTTAACATGCTGCTAGTGGCTGTCTCACTGGACATAACCTAATTATTATTATCGCCATTTATATTGCGCAAACAGGTTCCGTAACATTTTACAATATTATGAGAGGGGGGGATTCAACTATAAATAGGACAATTACAAGAAAATTTACCGGAACAGTAGGTTGAAGAGGACCCTGCTCAAACGAGCTTACAGACTATAGGAGGTGGGGTATAAAATACATTAGGACAGGAAATATCAATCAAATAAGGTGGGAGTGAAGAAGAGCTGGAGGAGAGAGGAGTGTGTGCTGCCCTTTAGGAGAGAGCAAGAGGCAGGCAGGGGCGGACTGAGCACTCGGGCAAATCGGTCATGCACCGAGGGCCCGAGGCTCTGGGGGGCCCATCCGGTGCAGTAATGGCTGAGCTGGGGAGTTAATCTCCCCAGCCAGCCTGCACTCAATAAGGGGCCCGCACAGCCCCTGCGGGCCCCTGCTGCTACTAATCATCTCCTCCGTGCAGGGACAGTTATAGGGCCCTCCCAAAGACCCAGCTAGGCTGCACCTCAGTGTGCCTGTCTCCAAACACAGCCTCACTGAGCTGCTTGTAACCCTGCTCAGGGCAGCTCCGTGCGGCTGGTTCTGCAGGATGTGACATCAACAGTCACAGTGCAGAGTGAACTGTGCGGAGCTGCCCTGATTAGAGTTACAGGCAGCATGTCAAGATCCTGTGCCTGGAGTGGTGAGGGACTTTCCAGGAGAGGATGTCTGGACCACCACAGAGGTAAGACTTGTAAGGGGGGGCTTTAATTTTTTTAAATCATAAATTTTTAAAAAATTACAAATATTTTAATGATATAATGCCCCTACCCCCTGCACTCTCTGCCACCACAACCCTCCTGCCCCCTCTGAAGCCAGAACCCTCCCCCTGCTCCCTCTGCAGCCTCTACCCCCTCTGTAACTCCTTCCTTTACACTTACAACTCCTATCATGCCAAGGCACTTTACACTTACAACTCCTATCATCCCTACCCCATTACTCTCTCTGTAGCCCCTACTCCCCTGTCCTCTCTGCAGCCCCTACCCCTTGCTCCCTCTGCAGCACATACCCCCTGCTCCCTCTGGACCCCCTACCCCCTGCAGAGATCCTATCCTCTGCTACCCCTGCACCCTCTGCTGCCCCTCACCCACTGCACCCTCTGCTGCCCCTCACCCCCTGCACCTTCTGCTGCCCCTCACCCCCTGCACCCACTAAAACTCCTATATCCTATGCACCCACTACAGCCTCTATACCCTATGCACCAACTACAGCCCCTACACTCCCTGCACTTACTACAGCTTATATTTCCATAGGAAAATATTTCCATAGGAAGGGAGCCACCCGCGAGAAGTCCTGCAAGTGTGAGTTGACCGTACGGGTGCGAGCAGCGGACAGGAGAATGGGCAGAGCGGAGAGACAGAGAAGGGGAATACCTATGGATCTGTGAAGAGACATAAGAGGGGCTAGAATTGTTCAGTGCTTTATAGATATGGGTTAGCACTTTGAATTGACTCCTATAGGATACAGGAAGCCAATGTAAGGACTGACAGAGGGGTGAGGTGTGAGAGGATTGACTAGAGAGGAAAATCAGTCTGGCGGCAGCATTCATTACAGACTATAGAGGAGCAATACGGCTTTTGGGAAGACTGATCAGGAGAGGGTTAAAATAATCCATGCAGGAAATTACCAGAGCATGGACAAGCTCCTTGGTAGCATCTTGCGTAAGAAAAGGCCTGATGCGGGCTATGTTTTTTTTTTTTTTATTCTTTATTTTTCGGGGTTAACATACAAGCCTGCGGTGCCATAACAGCATCAACAAGCATATCAAAACATACATTGTTATAACATGGTTATATTGCACATTTTTCTTTTTAAACAGGTAACATTTGTATGGTCAGCCAGAAAAGATTATGTGTAATGTCGTTTGTGCTAAACATGTTAGTGAGTAATAAATGATTTTAAGCTGTGTTATTCTTGTAGCAAGAGTGGGTTAGCATAATAGTGAGATTGTGCACTTTGCTGTCAGTGGCGTACACATGACCCATGGGGCCCCTGTGCGAAAATTGATCCGTGGGCCCCCCCCGCGCTTACTCGGCACGGGTCGGGGCCGCAACACATGGCGGCGGGCACCTGGTCGCAGGGGTTGCACAGCTGCGACCCCGCGACCGCGGTATGCACACACACTTAAAGGACCACTACAGACACCCAGATCACATCAGCTCAATGAAGGGGTCTGGGTGCCAGGTCCCTCTAGTTTTAACCATGCAGCTGAAAACATAGAAGTTTCAGAGAAACGGATATGTTTCACTGAGGGTTAATCCAGCCTCTGGTGCAGGGGTCAAGTCCTGGGAAAAAAAGTGTGGGAACTCACCCAAGATTCCTCTCCCCCTCCCCTTAAAAATGTTTTTTTTTAAATTACCCTCCTATGCATATAGTGCAGTGCAGGGTGTGTATAATGAATGTAGTGTGTTTGTAGTGAATGCAGAGTATGAATAATAAATTTAGTGTTTTTGTAGTGAGTGCAGTGTGAATAATAATTGTAGTGTGTTTGTAGTTAGTGCAGAGTGTGTATAGTGAATGTAATGTATTTGTTGTGAGTGCAGTGTGTGTATAATGAATGCAGTGTTTGTAGTGAGTGCAGAGTGTGTATAATGAATGTAGTGTATTTGTAGTGAGTGCAGTGTGTATAATAAATGTAGTGTGTTTGTAGTGAGTGCAGTGTGTGTATAATGAATGTAGTGTGTTTGTAGTAAGTGCAGAGTGTGTACAATGAATGCAGTTTATTTGTAGTGAGTGCCAAGTGTGTATAATGAATGCAGTGTATGTAGTGTGTTTGTAGTGAATGCAGTGTATAGTGAATGTAGTGTGTAGTGAGTGCAGAATGTGTATAATGAATGCAGAGTGTGTATAGTGAATGCAGTGTGTATAGTGAGTGCAGTGTGTATAGTGAGTGCAGTGTGTAAAGTGAGTGCAGTGTGTAAAGTGAATGTAGTGTTTTTGTAGTGAGTGCAGAGTGTTTATAATGAATGCAGAGTGTGTATAGTGAATGTAGTGTATTTGTAGTGAGTGCAGAGTGTGTATAATGAATTCATTGTGTGTGCGTGTGCTGGGTGATGTGTGTGCGTGTGCTGGGTGATGGGTGTGTGTGCACTGGATGATGGGTGTGTGAGTGCTGGATGATGTGTGTGCTGGATGATGTGTGTGTGTGTGTGCTGGATGATGTGTGTGTGTGTGCTGGATGATGTGTGAGTGCTGGATGATGGGTGTGTGTGTGTGTGTGTGTGTGTGTGTTGGATGACGTGTGTGTGAGTGCTGGATGATGTGTGTGTGTGTGCTGGATGATGTGTGTGCGAGTGCTGGATGATGTGTGTGTGTGCTGGATGGTGTGTGTGTGCTGGATTATGTGTGTGTGAGTGCTGGATGATGTGTGTGTGTGTGCTGGATGATGTGTGTGTGTGTGTGTGCTGGATGATGTGTATGTGAGTGCTGGATGATGTGTGTGTGAGTGCTGGATGATGTGTGTGTGTGTGTGTGTGTGTGCTGGATGATGTGTGTGTGTGAGTGTGTGTGTGTTGGATGAGTGTGTGTGCTGGATGGTGTGTGTGTGGGTGCTGGATGATGTGTGTGTGTGTGTGCTGGATGATGTGTGTGGTGGATGTGTGTGTGTGTGGGTGCTGGATGGGTGTGTGAGTGAGTGCTGGATGATGTGTGTGTGCGTGCTGGATGATGGGTGTGTGAGTGAGTGCTGGATGATGGGTGTGTGAGTGAGTGCTGGATGATGTGTGTGTGTGGGTGCTGGATGATGGGTGTGTGAGTGCTGGATGATGGGTGTGTGAGTGCTGGATGATAGGTGTGTGAGTACTGGATGATAGGTGTGTGAGTACTGGATGATAGGTGTGTGAGTGCTGGATGATGGGTGTGTGTGTGCTGGATGATGGGTGTGTGTGTGCTGGATGATGGGTGTGTGTGCTGGATGACGGGTGTGTGCTGGATGACGGGTGTGTGTGTGTGCTGGATGATGGGTGTGTGCTGGATGATGTGTGAGTGTGTGTGCTGGATGATGTGTGAGTGTGTGTGCTGGATGATGGGTGTGTGAGTGCTGGATGATGTGTGTGTGGAGTGCTGGGTGGGTGTGTGTGTGTGTGTGTGTGTGTGCTGGATGTGTGTGTGGGTGCTGTATGATGTGTGTGTGTGTGCTGGATGATGTGCGTGTGTGTGCTGGATGATGGGTGTGTGTGTGTGCTGGATGATGTGTGTGTGTGAGTGCTGGATGATGGGTGTGTGTGTGTGTGCTGGATGATGTGTGTATGTGAGTGTGCTGGATGATGTGTGTGTGTGTGCTGGATGATGTGTGTGTGAGTGCTGGATGATGTGTGTGTGTGTGTGCTGGATGATGTGTGTGTGAGTGCTGGAAGATGTGTGTGTGAGTGCTGGATGATGTGTTTGTGTGTGCTGGATGATGTGTGTGTGAGTGCTGGATGATGTGTGTGTGAGTGCTGGACGATGTGTGTGTAATTTTTATTTTATTCCCCCCTCCCTGCTTCTTACCTTGTCAGGGAGGAGATCGCCTGGTGGTCCGGTGGAGGGAACCAGCCGCTGCACACAGGAGCCATCACACGCTGTGTTCCCTCTCCAGCTCTAACTCTCGCGAGACTCGTCTGTGCGGAGCGTTGCCATGGTAACAGCCGCGGGTCTCACGAGAGTTATAGCTGGAGAGGGAACACAGCGTGTGATGGCCCCTTTGTGCAGGTAGCAGGGCCGGTCCTGCAGGACAGGTAACGGGAACGGCGTCCTGCAGGACTCGAGCCCTGCTCTGGTGGCTGTCTCATTGACAGCTGCTAGAGGAGCTTCCGCGATTCCCACTGTGAAAATCACAGCGAGAAGACACTGAACGTCCATAGGAAAGCATTGAGTAATGCTTTCCTATGGGCGGTTTAAATGCGCGCGCGCCTCTTGCCGCTCATGTGCATTCGGAGCTGAGAGGCGGAGGGATCCCCAGCGCCAAGGGAGTCCCGCGTGGAGAAAGGTAAATGCTGAAGACACACACACTCTCATGAACAGACGCATACACACTAGCTAAAAGACACACACATTTACTGACAGAGATACACTCAGCGACAGACATACATACACACTCACTTACAAAACATACACTTTCACTGACAAACACACACTCACTAACAGACATCAAACACACTCAGTAACAGACACACACAGTAACACACTCACTAACAGACACACACCCAATAACAGACACACTCACTGACACAGACACTAACACACACACACAAACACACACACACTAACACACACACACACACTAACACAAACACACACATATTTTTTTTTAAATTTAATCCCCCCAGCCTCCTTAACTTTTGGAGTGCTGGGGGGATTCCCTGGGGTCCAGTGGTGCTGCTGGACGGGCGGGCGGGCTGTCTGGGTGGCTGGCGCACGAGGGAGCACTCTCCTTTGTGCGCTTCCTTTTCAGCTCCCTCGGGCGCCGCATAGGGATGCCGGCGCCGGAAGATGACTTCATCTTCCGGCTCCCGTATTAGTGCGGTGCGCGAGGGAGCTGAAGAGGAAGCGCACAGAGGAGAGTGCTCCCTCGCGCGTCGGCAACCCAGACAGCCCGCCAGGGTCAGCAGAGCCAGCCTCGGGGGGCCCTGATGTGGGCGTTTTAACCGATCCCCATCTGCCTCAGCGCTGGTGCCCGGTGTGGTAGCCAGTGGGGGTTCGGGTGCGTAGCGGCCCAAGTCCTCTGTTTCGGGGTGAGTGCGTCAGGGGCCGGTTTTCCGATGTGGGGGTCATGCTGCTCACATCGGGTGGAGGCCTCTGCTGAGGTGAGTGGATGGGTGTAGGGAGGTCCCCCCTTTTCCCCTAGTGCCTGTGGGTGCCTGTATCGGGCTGATTTGTGCTCGGGAGTCGGTGGGCCATGGTATATTTGCTCATGAGTGGCAGCAAGCTTCGTGGGGGGAGGAGGGGTTTGGGCTGATAGACCCAGGGTTTGTCACCGTTTCATCGGTGGACTCACCGCTGGTGGTCTGATGCTGACCCGCTGAGATGTGTGTCTAGTCTCCAACCTTCTCCTCACCGCCTTCCATGCTGTATTTGGGTTCCTTCCTGGGGCAGCAGGCTATAGTGTGGCGGCTGTGGGGTGGGTGTCGATGGTGCCTCTGCTGGAGAGCTCTTGTGGGCTGAAAGCTTGGCCCAGAATTCGGCTAATAGGCGATACAGCCGCTCTGAGAGTGGTGGCAGTGGGGGACTGCATTCTGGCTGGCACATGGCATACGCCATGTTGTGCAGCGCCGAGCTTTCAATGCTGGTACTCTTGGGTTGGGGCCATGCCCCTGAGTGATGAGCCGTATGCCGGGACATGGCTCTCCGGCGGGGATGGGGAGAGTGTGCATCTGGGAGACCTCCAACTTGGTTGGCTGCAGGTAGCAGAGAGATCGTCCGCTTCCCCCATGCCGTCTGAGTAGGCAGTCTGTGGGCCTCAGGTCGATCCCCGGGATGTCTTCGCCTTTTTAGCCACCTTATCTCCGTGGTAACCTCTTGTCTCAGAGGTTGGAAAGCAGGCAATGTAATTATTTAGTTTAGTTTTTGGCTAGTTTCAGTCGATTTTAGAGAGGAGGTCTTCCGATGTGCTGCCATTCGGCTTGGCTGCTAGGCTCTGCCCCCTCGCGGGCTATGTTTTTAAGATGGAATTTACAGGATTTGGCATCATACTGGATGTGAGGCTCAAAGGTGAGGCCAGAGTCAAGTATGACGCCAATACAGCACGCTTGCAAGGATGGACTTATGTGGGTACAACTAACTTGAAGGGAGAGCGAAAGAGGAGGATCAGAATAAGGATGAGGAAAGACAAGGAGCTCAGTTTTAGAGAGATTGAGTTTTAGAAATGGGAGGACATCCAGTCAGAGATAGAAAAAAAGGCAAGCAGTGACACGCTGCAGGCCGGCAGGGGAGTGGTCCAGGGAGGAGAGATATATCTGGGTGTCATCAGCGTACAGTTGGTAGTGGAATCCAAAAGAGGTAATAAATTTGCCAAGAGAGGCAGTATAAAGAGAAAATAGAAGGGGACCAAGGCCAGAGCCTTGGGGGAGTCCAACCAAGACAAGACGAGGGGAGGACGTATCATTAGAAAAGCAGACACTGAATTAGCGTTGGGAGAGATAAGAGGAAAACCACAAAAGGACAGAGTCACAGAGACCGAGGGATTGAAGAGTTTGGAGAAGGAGAGCATGATCAACGGTGTCAAAGGCAGCAGAGAGGTCAAGCAGAATTAGTATGTAGTAGTGGCCTTTGGATTTAGCTGCGATTATGTCGTTAGTAACTTTGATAAGAGCAGTCTCAGTAGAGTGGAGAGAACGGAAGCCAGATTGAAGAGGATCAAGGAGTGAATTGGAATTGAGACACACGGGCAAGGATAAGTCTTTCCAGAAGCTTTGAGTAAAATGGGAGCAGGTATATGGGGTGATAGTTAGATAGTCAAGAGATGTTTTTTTCAGAATAGGTAATACAGTTGCATTTTTAAGGTCAGCAGGGACACCGCCAGAGAGCAGTTGAAGATATGTGTTAAGGAAGGCACAAGACAAGGGGAGAGAGCTCTGATAAGGTGAGATGGGACAGGATCGAGCGGGGAAGTGGTGGGGCGAGAGGAAAGGAGAACCGCAGCCGCCTCTTGTTCAGTAGCCAGGGAGAAAGTCTGAAGTGTAGGAAAGGCATGATCTATGTGTGGTTGCGAAAGAGAATGGCAAGGTGGGAAGAAGTCTTTCCTTACCTGTTCAATCTTGTCGGTAAAGTAGCATGCAAAGCTAACGGCTGTTAGGTTAGTTTGGGGGTGGCCACAGCAGGGCGAATAAGAGAGTTAAAGGTGTCAAATGATATCCCTCATACATCCCTGGAGAAGCTCTGATTCCAAGGGGCAAACTGTCCAAAAAGCACCCAGATCTGAGAAATCTAATCTGACCAATCACTGGATGAAGTTTGACTGGGCTGCAATCATTCTTCAATCCGAGTTCCATAATGTTCCTGTGGCTCTGAAGAAGGGAGCGCCCACAAGTCCAAGGTGTTGGATGTGTCATCTCCTCCATGATCACCCCTCCAAATCTGCTTCATGGTCAGATTGACGTTTTGCAGGGCCGAATATTTCCGATCCGGTAAACAGTTCAAGGGTGAGTCAGGGTATCTCCCTGTCAAGTGCTCTGTGCCTAGGTAGCTTCCCAGAGTCCCTGGAGCTAGCTGGACAGTACAACAAGGTGTTTTGGATGTCCTGCAGAGTAAGGTCACAGGGTGAAGGGGTAAATAAAATGATTTTAGTCCTTTTCGGGAGAGATTGTTCTGGAGTTGCACACCAATTATCATCAGTCCGTGACAGTAAGTAGACATCACCTTTCAAACTCTCCCACAGCCGAGAAGACACTAAAATAGTTAAAAACTATAGCGTTAGGAATACATGTTTGTACTCCTAATGTTATAGTGTTCTTTTAATGGGCGGCTGTTATCTGAATTTCTTATTGGTGATTAAATAACCTCAGCAATTCTGCAGCATCCAAAAAAATTAAACCCGCCTGTCTGGCACCTACTGCGTTACTCTGTTCAAAGGCACTTAAACCTTTTGTCTGAACATTCACCTTATAAATATCAAACATAGTTAGTGTTGACTGTGTCAAAATCCTTCTATAACAGGTCTACTCCCTGTCACCTACACAGACTAAAGAAGATTTAAAAAAAAAAAAAAAGTATTATCAACAAGGGTTCACCTATGTTAATCTTGTCCGTCTGTATCAAAAGAGAAGAACAGTTGGTGTGTTTTTTGGTTTGTTTACAGGCTTTATATGTGCGTGTGTGTGTGTGTGTGTACACAACCCTGACTGAATAATAAACTGCCAATAAATGTGTTTCTTTAAAATTTCTGAATAATTCAAACAATACAAATGATCATAATTTCATAATCACACTGCTTTAAAAAAAACTGATAGACCAATAGATAGACCCCATACGCCAATAGAACAGGAAAATACATACGTGTAAGAGTTAGTGTTTAGTTACCCATCTTTTTTAGGTAACCTTTATTTTCAAGAAAAAATATTTTTACCATACAAATACATAGAAAATATCAAGATTGTCACTATGAAATACATGATCATCTAGCATACAGGCACTAATAAAGTGGTCTGTGGAATTTATGCTGGGCATGATCCATTTCTTGTCTTAATATGATCGCCCAGAGATTATGACCGTTCTTGTCTATTCTACAGCCTTGGAGTGGTGTCAAAGCTAAATAACTTTTAGCCTATTATATTAAATAATTCCAGCTCACAAAACCATATACTATGTTGAGTATGGGAGGGGGTATAGTAAAAGAAGGAGGTGCTACTGAAGTAGAGGTGAGTGAGTTTGAACCCTTGCCACCAAGTCTGTCTTTTTAACTGTGAGTGCTCTGTTCGGTGGGATGCTGTTTTCTTTCCAGTGAGTGACAAATGGTAGCAGGGGTGAATCCAGACACCAAACTCAGACGCAGCACTGCGGGATTTTGTGACAAATTCTAAAAGGTGGAAACATCCATCCATTCAAGTACAGATGCCCATATTTATAAATATGCATATAGTCATAATTATCTACAAACATTTAGGCATGCAGCTTATGCTATGACACTAATGACCTGATTACTGCCTGATAAATCAATTAATAGTGTCAGGAATGCAAACATGTATTGTTGACACTATATTAGTGGTGTGGCTGTTTAGGCCAATGACCCCCCTTAGATCGCGTAGGAAAGGTGTTTTACTCACCTTTTATTCCCAAGCAGCACCAGGTCTCGCCTCGGTTGGCTCAGCCTCCATAGCTGAGATCATCAATCGTGGTGATCTCAGCCAATCCAAATGACTTCCCATCGGAAAGCATTGGGCATTGCGCATGCATGGGAAAATGCCATACTTCACCAATCAGCATGTAGAATATTGCATATTCTGTATGTTCCTATTCAAATACATATTAAGGTGTGGCTGTCTAATGGGTTAAACAGAACAGATGGTGTTTGCTACTCTGTAATATGAGGTCTCTGGAATTTGCTGTATAAGAGATTTGAGGCGGTCTTTATATAGGGAACTTCCTTATATGGCAGGGTCTAAACTAAACATTATGACGTAATTTGGGGTATATAGAGCCAAGGACAAAGGATTAGGGGCTCTTCCTGCTACGATCAGTTTGCTCTCCTCTCTGAAGTCAAGACGACTCTCTGTAACATCGTTAAGAATTACCATCTGTTAAGTATATATAACTGTTTCCTGTTGAATGTAGAATAAATACTCATTTTTCATAAAGAACGTCAGATTGCGTATTACTAATTTTCAATAATATAGACATATATTATTGTGGCGAGCATTTGGCCCAAGACTATATATACAAAAGACGTATATATATATCAATCAACTGAAGATAAGAAGAAATATCTATATATATATATACATAAAAGACTTATTCAACTATAGAAAAACACAGCCAGCTATTACACAGCATCTCCTCATAAGGATATATTGAATCAATGCCTCTTTATGGGGAACGTTCACTGTCTCAGCATTCACACTGTGCAGCATTGCTGATAGAAAGCACCTGTAGTGGCCGTCTGAGCACTTTGCATATAGCACCAGACCAAGTTTAAGACAAAGATGTTCAATATAAGTTTATATTAGAATAAAGTGCTAGAGAGAACCATCAATACCCTATAAAATACCCTATAAAGTACCCTATAAAAGCCCATTCAAAAATAAAAAATGGATGACAAATAATCAAATACCACAAATATATAATCATGAAAAAACAAAAGGAAAGAGAAATAAATAAAATGAATAATAAAATGAGAAAACAGAAAATATGAAAAAACATGTTTTTATAACAGATGGGGAAGCTCATATGGCAAAAGCATCATTATCTAGAACATGAAAATTCACCCTGTGGCAGGTAAATCATTGAAAAGAAATATGTTCTAAACAGAATTTTTATAAAGTGCACAGTCAGTGCCAGTGGGAACACATCTACAACCTATAAAAATGAAACACAAAAAGAGATAATGTAACACATTTTTTTTAATCATTCAAACTTTATTGAAAGCAGCACAAATTAGGGATTATTCTAGCCTCGGTGAGGGAATAATTTAAATTGACAGGAGGCGAATATTTGCTTTACCTTCTTTACTGAAACTTCCAGCAGCAAAGAAATAGTTAACATAACTTTTCCAAACAACCAATCAGAATAAAATAACAGCAGTATAAAATCCCTTTGATGAGGTCCAGCAGGAGAGCATGAAACCAAACGAATCCATCTTGTGACAGGCACATCTAGAGACGAAACCTCCAAATCCAGAGGTAACCTATATTACACTACAATGAAAAAGAAACATCATGAAAGTAAACTGCCAAGGCAGAATGTCATACCACATACATTACTTCAACGTCATAATACATGATGAATAAATGCACACGGACAACCAAAACCGTATAATAGAAAGAATATTGATTAAACAAACATGAGACCATACATTACAAAAACATAAAAATACCCCCAATTAATTTAAGAGAAAAAACCCAATTCCAGGGAGGGGAACGTCACCTTCTGTCTTTAATAAAATTTAGATTATTCCCTCACCGAGGCTAGAATAACCCCTAATTTTATGGCAAGACAGGAGTCTTCATATTTGCAATTTTAACGCTCAGACATAAAAGAGATGAAACATGAAATCGTGGACGGAAATAAAAATACGAAACATAGATTCCCTAGACCAATCAGCGGCGCCAAAAATATCCGTAAGGGACCCACAGGCTTCTAGAGCTGCTGAAGCTGCAGTACCCCGAACATAATGTGCCCCAAAGGAACTCGCTACGCCAGCCGATGAGAGAATCCACCAAATCCAATGAGCGATTGTAGATGTAGAACAGCCCTAAATGGACATACAGATTAAATCAACAGCTGCCCATGAGCAGAAGGGCGAAAGGACGAGGTCCTGGATATATCCGTCCATAGGCAACGTGCCACACAGAGACGTGGCCTATTTGGAAAATAGGGATACGACACAGAAGACTAAATAGATTTCGGTCTTCTTGAAATAGAAACAGACACACCGTCCAGTGAAAAGGAGAAAGATACTATATCAAAAACATGAACATCAGAAACACAATGAAAAGACGGAGACACAAGACATAACAGTAGGGTCAGCTTTGGAATGGAATTCCCCGTTGTCAGGCCATTCCTCAAGAAAACCAGCGAGACATCCCAAAATGAGAAATAGCAAGAAGCAGGGGGCCTCGAAAGGGGCACACCCTAGAGCAGTCTGCAGGCCGAGGTGTCTTTACCAACACCAAAACCTTTAGAAGGCACACAAGCCACCAAAATAGCTGATCGGAAAACGTAATAGTCCTATACGACTTACCCTGAGAAAACGATTCCCGCAAGAAGTTCAGGACAGTCATGATAGGGCCTTAAAGGGCACCAGACATGTTAGAATCAGCAGGCGTGTAGATATTCTCGTCTGGCGCCAGGTGTCCAAGAGTCCCAGACTAACTTTTTAGCCGTTATCGGTAGGTCTGACATCCCAGACCAAGAGAAACGGTCCAGGCCACCGGCGACAGACGGCCCTCTAATACCAACGGATGTGGATTTCCTGTTGGATCCCGAAGGAGAAACTTGAAGACAGGCAGAAGTAGTGGGTCTTTGCACAACAAGTCCAGCAGTAGATGAAACTACGATTGACTCCTCCAAAGTGACGCAATCAGGAGCTTGATTCAATGTAACGTCTGAAGAATAATGAAGAAAAGGGGAGAACGCATACACCCCCGTTATAAGCGATAAGTTCTTGTCCAGACAATACTGGTAGAGATCCCTTGTTAGATCCGACAGAGGTTTGGAATGCAAGCCCCCAACTGGTTTACATAGCGGACAGCTGAGACATTGTCCATGCGTAGAAACATCAAGCAATGATTAATCCCTGTGGTGAAACATTCAAATAGCGAGTGGCCCTACAAACAGTTCCAGAGTCCAGAGTCTTCCTGACACCACACCATAGCAAGCAGCGCCCCAGCTCAGACAAGTGTCGTCTGGGCCGGCTGGGAACCGAGTAATGCCTCACCGTTCCAGGCCTCCACACACAAATTGGTCGTATAAAGCCGATGACCTGAGATAGTGCGCCTTCAGGCATTGGTGGAGCCCGTTAGTGTAGGGGGACATTGGAAGGCGGAGCACCGCCTGAACCAAATCCACCATTAAAAACAGGAACTGGACCAACCGTTAAGAGGGATTCAGTTCCGAATACTCCACGTTGAAGATGAACCCCAGGACCTGAAACAGGCGGGTTTTGAACGACGTATACCAATGCAGTATGGCTGGATCTTGTGCCATCAATAGAATATCGTCCAGAGAGATGATTGACCTGATCCTTCTGGCCCTCAGAGTCGCCCTGACTGACTTCAACACATAGGTGAAATACCTAGGTGAAATACCAAAGGGCCGAGCTGAGGCCGAACGGAAGGCACGTGAACTGCCAGGTGCCTCCCGGTCAGGGGAACTAGAGGAAAACACCTGTCCTGGTAGTGGATCGGTACTGTGACATAAGCGTCCTTAGATCCAGTCAGGAGGATCAGTCTCCCTCACAAAGCAGGTCCCTGAGGAGATGGATACCCTCCATCTTAACATGTCAGTAGACGATATATGCATGGAGAGCAAACAGCTTGATCACAGGGTGGAAGTCTACTGGTTTCTTCCTTATCAGGAAATTATACCCAGGAAATGAGATGGGCCCTTTTCCATATGTATCGACGGTGGATCGGAGGCCTTTATCTGAGGTTCAACTAAATCGACCCGGAATCCAGTCTGTAGAACCCACAGATTTCCTGTGATGGCCTTGCACTGAGGAAAAAAGCGAGACGCAGAAATGGAAACGTGACGGTCCAATTCCTTCGAAGAGCAGGCCTTTGGCATCTGGACCTGATTGGTTGGAGGCCAAGTCTGCCAGCTTGCCAATCAGCTTGTACTGGGTCGCCTTGTGGCGTTCTGAGTTGAGGGCCACATTGGTATTACCCAGGAGACAACTATCCCTTTGAGCCCACTCCCGAAGGAGATGGGCATCAACCAGAGCTCCACCGTTTAGGACATTATCAGGCCTAAGGAAAATTTGTGTCAACGGTCCACTGAGATCGAACAGTCTATCCTGGGCTGAGCGTAGGCCCTGTTCCTTCTCAGATCTCGTCATGCCGAACACGGTCAAAATCAAGGGTAAGGCCACCTTATCCAGCAGTGTCGGACGGGGCATGCAGCCCAAAGCTTTGCCTGGACCTCCTTGTCCAAATTGCAGCAAAGCCAATAACTGAGAAATTCTACAATGCGGTCTGGGGGAGCCCATTCTTCAGAGCAAGGATGTATGAGGAGACGTGGATCAAAGAGTGGGTGACCTAAGGGGTCCAAGATTTCTCCTAGGGTGTGTGAGGGTCGTTCAAGGACCCACCTGGGCCACCTGGGCCTTTCAATTGAAATACACTTTACCTTCCAGCTTGTTTCCACTTTAGTGGGCCTTGCCTGTGACAGCATCATGACCTGTCCAAAGTCTTACGCGTGGTGCCCATGTCCGCAGAGCGGAGGGAACTGCCTGAGTCAGGTACCTGAGCACCAAAGGTGCTGGGTGTGTGTACTGCAGGGGTAGGAGGGGTGTCCCTGTGCATGGCAGGTGGGCCTTCAGGTAGCAAGTCCACCATTGCGGCACTTAATCAGGCTTGTAGGCCCTCAGGTGCATGGGAGTCAGCAGGGGCAGTATAGTGGATACAGCGCACCAGTAGTATGTAAATATAAAAGGGGGTTCACCCCATATATGACTAGGCCTGAGGCCTTGCTGTAGTTGTTCTGTTGACTATAGTGTCCCTTTAATGTAAGGTGGAACAACCTTTCAAGTTGAAATTCTGTCTTTTACTATAATAAAACATTTCTAGGTTAAATGAAGGGAAACATTTTAAACAATTGAAATAACTCACCCTATAGTAAGATACATTTAGAGCGCTTCATCCATAATTCCCAAATGTTTGTTCAATTATGAAAATATATTTTCTATTACTTGTCCAGATTTTTGTTCACTTCACTACTTCTGACTATACAATCACTGTACTTAATTTTAAGGGACACTACAGTAGCTGAAGTGCTTTACATGTCCCTTCAGGCTTATTTATTAAAGTGGTGAAATGAGAAATGGGCAGTGTTTATAAACCACCTTCATTTTCTGCCTCACTCACTTAGAAGTTCAAAGTGTGGGTGCTTCTCAAAGAGAATCATTAGTTTCAATGCTTTACTGTAAGAAACATTTTTTTCGCAGCTCATGACAATTACCACTCATGTGCCATGTATCCTAATACTTCTCTATGAAAAGCATCTGATTAAACACAACAGGAGGTGCATCTGAGCTGTATTGAGGAGACTCTCCTGTTCGTGGAATAAAAGGGAGTTTACTTGATTGTAATCATTTTAAATTTTGAAATGAGTGGTCTGATAAACTAAACAGTTTAAGGGTACACTAGTCACCCAGACCACTTCAGCTCATTAAAGTGGTCTTGTCGCAATCTCCCTGACCCACTTAGTCTTGCAATGTAAATCATTGCAATTTAAAAAACAAACTGCAATGTTTACATTACAGTACTAAGACGGACTCTTGTGGCTGTCATCCAGACAGCCACTAGAGACGCTTCTGGGAGTTTACCTGATTTTAGATCGCTTAATGACGCTGGACGTCCTCATGCTCTGAAGTAAATTCCCATAGAAAAGAATTGATTCAATGCGTTCATCTGGGGAGGGCCTAATGGGCTTGCGCGCCATAGGCCCCCCATCGGATGACATCTGACATCAGAGGGGGCGGAGCACCAACTCGGCACAAAGGGGGGTCAGTGTTGGAATCAGGTGAGTAAATAAAGGGTTATGAAAGGGGGGTAGGAGGGAGAGGGTTACCAGAGGCCAGAAGACATTATAGTTCATTATAGTTTTTAAAATACAGATTTGTATTCCAACCTAAAAATATATATTTTTATTTTTCATAGGAGCGTTCCTTTAATAGATCTCTATAAGTGAATGATTAACAATATCAATAAAGGGCAAACAAAGTAATAAAAAAATAAACTGCAAAGCAAATCCCCAAACAAAATACATTAGGAGCCAGTGCTTAACTCATTGGCGGATCCAGGGGGGGGGCAACGGGGCAATTGCCCCCCCCGAGAAATCCGCCGGTCTCCCTCCCCTGCCAGCCGTGCAATGTGCCTGCGGACCGGGGAGGAAGATCAGAGATCTCCCTCCCCGGTCCGCAGGCACTGTGCTGACAGCCGGCGGACAGAGGGAGGGAGGGAGAGGGAGGACCCGGAGGACCACGGCAACGCTCCAAATCTCGCGAGAGTGAACTCTAGCCCGGGAGCGCGGGCTAGAGTTCACTGTAACCACTGGGACCACCAGGGAATCCCCCACCGGACCACCAGGGATGAAAATATGTCCCCCCTCCTCCCCAGTAAAGGTAAGAAGGGAGGGGGGACATAGCATATTTATTTTATTAAATAAAATAAAAAAAAATATATTATTTAAAAGCCTCCTTCCCCCCCCATTACACACACTGCCCCCCCCCATTACACACACTGCCCCACCATACCACACAC